CCCCGCCTCCGCGGACGCCGCGCCTTTTGAGCCCGCGGAAGGGGGCGGAGCCCTAGGCCACGCCCTCCCCAGGCCACGCGAGTGGACATCCCGGGGTCGGTGCGAGGCCCCACCCCGTCCCCAAGCCCTGAGTCTCCAGGACAGGGACGGAGGGTCGCGCATTTACCCGGGCAATGACCCTCCCGAGCCTGGTCGCCGCCAGCCTGCGCCCCGCTCCGGGCTCTCACCCAAGCCCCTTGCGCCTCCCACTGGCGAGGGGGAAGAGAAAGCAGCCTTTTAAAACACCCCGGCTGTAGAGGTCTTCTCTCACCTCATTCTCCCCTTGTAGGGGAGAATAGCCTCATAATACCCTTCTGTCAGGGATACGGTACAGGTCAAAGCGGCCGTGGTCCGCGCCACCGGAGATTTCAGAATTTCTGAATTCCAGGGAATGGAGAAGCAGCGAGACAGGGTAGTTGCAAGTTAGCTTTCCCGGGGCTGGGGATGTAGCTCAGTGGTAGAGACCCCTGGTTCAATCCCCCAAACCAAAGCCAACCAACCAACCAAAGCTAGGCTTGCAGGATAATCTGGAAACCAATACATAAGGAAATAAATAATAGATAAACAAATAAATAGTAAGAGCCAACGGAGTTGGAGGAGGCCCTTAGCCCCACATGGGGCCTGACAGTAAGAGTCCATCCAGACAGAGCCAGCAGTCCACAGCTCTGCGACATCCACCAAGCACCACTATTGGGACGGACTGTATCCCCTGAACACCCCTCCCGAGCACACAGTCCGTCCTGTGGGGGTGGGGTGGAAGGAGCTGTCACGGCAGAGGGAAGGAAAGCCGATTCTCCTGAGTGTTAGAGTGAATGGTGGGGGGCACGACCCCCCCCCACGCCCTCCTACCATCCTTACATACATCCCCCTTCCCCAACATTGTCCCGACGGCTCAAACTCCTGCAGGAGATGTCATCTTTGAAGAAATGCTCCTTGGTACTCTGCTGTTCTGTCTGCGTTGCTTTTTCCTCTTGCTGTCCCTTGTCTCTATGGTACTCGAGGTCTCCACGACCTCCATCAAGTCAGCTGCAGCCTTCAGGTCTCATCCCGTCCTGCTGAGGCATGCTGGTCAAGGCCAGGCCGACCACTCCCTTTCTCCATTGCTTTCTTTTCTTTTAAGATTCAATGCCCTCTTCTGGCCTCTTCAGGCACGAGGCACACATGTAGTGCACATATTAACATGCCGGCAAAACACTCATACACATGAAATAAAAGTAAAAAGAAATAAGGGTCCCCGTGTAAAACACCCATACACATGAAATAAAAGTAAAAAGAAATAAGGGTCCCCGTGTAAAACACCCATACACATGAAATAAAAGTAAAAAGAAATAAGGGTCCCCGTGTAAAACACCCATACACATGAAATAAAAGTAAAAAGAAATAAAGCTCGCAGTGTAAAACACCCATACACATGAAATAAAAGTAAAAAGAAATAAGGCCTCCCCGTGTGGACGGGCTGGCCCTTTGGCCCTTGAGTGTGCATGGATTCCAGATCGTCTAGCCTCTACTTCCTGAGAGCTGAGACCACACCACCAAGCCCAGCAGCTTCCTTGTCTAAATCACCTTTCCCCAGGCTTCTCAGGCTTTCCTCCCTCAATATCAGGCTGGTCTCGAACTCACAGAGATCCACCTGCCTCTGCCTCCTGAGTGCTGGGATTAAAGGCGTGCGCCACCAACGCCCGGTTTTACACTCACATCTTAAGCGCTCATATTGTCCTTTGGCTTTCAGTAACACCAAAAATGGCCAACCCGTGCTTCCCCCCTCAGGAACTGCAGATGTCAATAATTAATACCTTGTCTGGATGTCTGCTAGGCAAGTGTCTCAAATCCTACATCTCACTCCTAATTTGTGCTTTCTTCTAACTCCTTCCTGGTCCCAGTCAATGACATCATTCACCTAATTGGCTCAGCAGAGCCTATGAAGTTAGATGCCTTTTCTCTGTCATCTGCCAAATTCGGCATATTCCACCTTTAAGATGTTTTCCCAGCTAATCACCTCTGCTGTTCTGGTACCGTCCCATGCTTCAACGCCTAACAGTCTGCCAGCTGACCGCCCTGCTTTCCCCCTGGCCTCCTCCAGTCTTCATGCAGTCTTCTGGGTGATATTCTTAAAGCAGAGATCACACCTCATCTTTTAGCATTCCAGTGGGCTCACACTACATTTAAAATAAAACTAAGATCCTTAAGACCTACGCAAGACTAAGAAACTGGGTCAAGTGTTAGGCCTGGCGGCATAGCCCTGTGTCATCCCAGCTGAGGGGGAGGGTTACATGTTTAAGGCCAGCCTGGGCAATTTAGGGAGACCCTGTTTCAAAATAAATAAGTAAATAAAATATAAATAAAGACGGGGAGGAGGTTGTGCTTAGCTACCCCAGCTTCCTGAATCTCTAATACTGGGGAAAAGAAACTAAAACTGGGTCAGCCTCTTTCCAAGGCCTGCACATTCCATTTACACGGCCCCGGCCTCCTCTCCACACCTCCAAGCACATTCTAGCCCGAGGGCCCTTTTGCACTTTGCAATTCCTTTTGCTTAGAACACTTTTTTTTTTTCTGGAGATCTAAATAATTTTTTCTCTGTTTGAATACTGCCTCCTGAGACGGGGGCGGGGGGAGGCGCGTCTCTGCCCATCCTGTCTAAGTCGTCAGTCCTAGCTGGAGAGCTCAGGGGTTAACAGCACTGGCTGCTCTTTGAAAGGATCCGGGTTTGATTCCCAGCACCCCATGGCGGCTCACAACCATCTGTAACCCCAGTCCTGGGGGATTTTGGACACTCTGTTTAGGCCTCCACGTGTACCAGGCATGTACATACATGTTTGCAGATACACATGCAAACAAACACTTATACACATAAAGTAATAAAATAAATTTAGTCCGGCATTGGTGGCACACACCTTTAATCCCAGCACTTAGGAGGCAGAGAGGCAGGCGGATCTCTGTGAGTTCGAGACCAGCCTGGTCTATATGAGCTAGTTCCAAAACAGCCTCCAAAGCCACAGAGAAACCCTTCCTCAAAAACCAAGCAAACAACAACAACAACAACAACAAAAAAAAAAAAAGAATAAAAAATTTAGCTGCTGGTGGTGGCACATGCCTTTAATACCAGTACTTGGGAGCCTGAGGCAGGATGATATCTGAGTTCCTGGGCAGCTTGGTTCAGGGCAGCCAGGGCTACACAGAGAAGTGTGTGTGTGTGTGTGTGTGTGTGTGTGTGTGTGTGTGTGTGTTTAGGGGGAGAACACAACACCAAAACAATTAAAACAGCAGTCCCCTCCCCTCATACCACACCTGTATCACACCCTAGTCCCTTAACCTACTTTATTTTCCCCACAGCACTTTCCACACTCTGACATATTGTGTCTTTATTGTCTCGTGAGATCTGGGGTTGTCTGTCCTGTCCACGGGGCCTGCATGGAGTTGATGTGAATGAACACAAGAAAGGAAGGTTTGAAAAAGTGAAAGAAGAAATGAACAAAGGAGGGACGGGCAGTCTGGTGGCTCCTGGCTATATCCCAGCAGACAGGAAGGCCCCCCAGGCCCCCTCCTTACTCCACACAAAGGCTTGGGACTAGGTGCCTGAGGTTCTTCCCAAGAACCTCAGGGTTGGAACAAGCACTGGACTAGAAAGGATACAGCGCCCCCTGGTGACCTGAACCCCTGTAGCTCCGTGGTCAGGACAGGCCTCTTTTTTTTTTTTTTTTTTTTTTTAGGGCGGGTTTTCTCTGTGTAGCTTTGAAATCTGCCTTTGTCCTCAGTAGACCAGGCTGGCCTCGAACTCACAGAGATCCGCCTGCCTCTGCCTCCTGAGTGCTGGGATTAAAGGCGTGCGCCACCACTGCCCGGTCGAGACTTAGAATTTTAACTATAGAAAAGTTTGCCAGACTGAGGATTCAAGAGTCCTGGATTCAGCCTGGTCTACAAGAGCTAGTTCCAGGACAGCCTCCAAAGCCATAGGGAAACCCTGCCTCAACACTTCCATCCCCTTCCCGCTACCCTACCCCCAAAGAGTCCTGGATTCCAATTTTGGTCATGACCATGACTCCAGTGTGTCCTAGTATGGAATGAACTAGAAAGGGCTTGGACTACCCACTGGGGGAGCAGCAGCAGCTGTTCTGTGGGAGTTTGCTGGCCTCGCCTGCTCTGAGGCATTCTGAAGATGTCCAGAGCTCCCATTTTCCAACTTCTCTTCACATATTAAGCTTGGAGATGCCTTTTCTTTAGGCAGTGTTGGAAATCAAGGGCTTCAAGTATACTAGGTAAAGTTGTGACCCTGAGCTACAGTCCTAGACCTAGAAATGTCTTTCTGATATCCGGATGTGCAGTGTGCAGCTGGATTCTAAATCTGGAGTGTTGCGGAATAGTGTTTGTTTAACTAGGTAAAGCTGTGTTACTTTTGTTTGTGCTGCATTTGTTTAACTAGGTAAATATGTGTTGCTGTTTCTCCTTGCCTGCCAAAGGCACCTGATTGGTCTAATAAAGAGCTGAATGGCCAATAGCCAGGCAGGAGGGACAGTCAAGACTTCCAGACAGAGAGAAGTAGGAGACACCATGGAGAAGCAAAACAAGGCAGACACACAAAATGGGAGAGAGGTAAATGCCACATGGTAGAACACAGATTAATAAAAATGTGGATTAATTTAAGAGCTAGTGGAACAAGCCTAAGTTAAGACCGAACTTTCATAGTTAATAATAAATCTCTGGGCTGGAGAGAGATGGCTCAGAGGTTAAGAGAGCACTGGCTGCTCTTGCAGAGGTCCTGAGTTCAATTCCCAGCAACCACATAGTGGCTCACAACCAAATAATAAGATCTGATGACCCCTTCTGGTGTGCAAGAATACATGCAGGCAGAAGACTGTGTA